CGGGGTGTTACATAAATATTAATCAATAATCTGCTTAATTTTACCGATTAGGTCATAAAAGATACAAATAAGCCACATTAAAATGTTAAAAGAAAATTATATTTTCATTCACATTTTTTTATTGTTTTAATTAATTATAGTTAATAAGACATTTTATTAAATTAATTATTAAATAATTTGATACTTTTTATAATTTTGTTATTAACATTTTATTTGACACAATTTGTTACTTCAATATTGATGTTAATTAATTTACATACGTTTATTAATTTATTTATAATAAGAGACATATCAGTTGAATCATATCGATTTATAAAAAAAATAAAAATTCATTAGTTCAATTTAGTATTTAAGTATTAAACTAACTTACTAAGAGTACAATATTAGCATATGATAATTATTATATTTTATTTAAAAATTACAGGTTGAAATTTTATTATAAATATAAAATTTAATTTTTTATATGTATATTATAAATTGACAATAATTTTTTATAATATTAAATTAAATTATTTAATAAATTATATTTTTAAATTAAAAATATTTTATAATAATTAAATTTATTTAATTAACGTCATAATCAATTAAAAATATGAATTACACTTTATTTTATTAGAAAAAAAATCCTAAACCAACCCCATCCGGTCGGATTCACACCTCACCCCTCCCTCTCTATTTCTCTGTATAAAATATACATTCATATATATATATATATATATATTAGAGGGACCTGTATGTTCACGTGGATGGAGGTGCTAATCTGTTGAGCATTACTCCTCCATGTCCGACGCATTAATATCTGGTTACTATGATTTGAGCGTGTGTCAACTTTGTCAGTAAAGAGTTGGGGCACGTTATTCTTTTTCCAAAATTCTTCTACAATTCTCCTTTCGCTAAATTAATTTCTGCTTATATAATATTATTTTTAATAGTTCAATTATAATAGAAAATTTTATGAACGTTGTACTCAAGAATATTCAAAACATATATTTTAGACTATAAAAATTTTGTTTGATAGACCTTAATGATTTAAATTCGAATTACATTATTTTTCTTGAATTATATTTTCCTGATTTTCCCCCTAATTTGTTGATGGGTTATACAATATTAATTTTATATAAAATAATATTTTTCAAAAAAAGTTTTAGTGACTTAATGACCAATGAAATTGGGCTTTACTAGCCCAAACATCACGACTGTCCACGTCATACGACGTCGTATATTAATGAAGTATGGTCAAACAAGGCAAAACTGGAAAAAGAAAAAAATCAACTTTGGGCCTATATGTAATTTAAGCCTTTTCTACTTATTTAAGCCCAAGTTAATGTGGAGGCAAATCGCAATTAGGCACGTGCGAGTTCGGCGTCGTCCATATCCGCAGGTGACAAAACAGACGGCGTGGATCTATGACAAACGCGTATCCCGCGCGTCGCATTAGCTGTCCGTGTTGACGTGGCACTTACACCTTCCCTCCATCTTCGAAACAAAACCCACCAATCGGGAGATGCCATGTCGACATAACCAATATCACATGATACTCACGTGAGCTATCCCACCCGCGGAACACGGCTTCCGTTTATTAAACACCAAGTCCCGCCCCCCTTTCCCTCTCTGTTGAGGCATCTCTCTACATTTTGATCATCGTATCCGTCCACAACAACATATATACATTCTTATTACATATATAGAAACGCTTGTATATATATATACGCTTGTGATATTGATCAGAAGATCAAATTAAAAGAGAAGAGATGAAGGAAGAAAAGAAGCTGCACGTGAAGGTGAAGCCATTACAGCTCGAATTCGGAAGCTTTGAAGGCAAATTAGCTGGAGAAGAAGCCACGGAGAAGACGGTAATGATTGAAGTGAAATGGAAAGGACGACCGAAGTCCGGTTTAACTGTGCCGTTTTATCGATCGTTGTCGTCTCCGAAGCATCAAAGAAACTGCACCACCAAGAAAACTGTACCGTTTTGTCCAGTCTCCAAAGATGATTCGTTGAAATCCATCATCGAATGGAACGATGGTTATGATGATGAATTCGAGAAGGTCTGCTGCTTTTTGGTCATAGCTAAGGACGGGTCTCTTTGCCCCTGGCATCTATCGTTGAATATCTTATACGTAAGTTTAATTTTGATTGACTGAGAAATTATGTTTATTAATTATAATTAATTCGTTACTAATTACGGTAATGTCTGGCAAATCGATTTTATTTCATTGAAATTCAGGGAGACAGTGATGTAGAATCCAACACCAGATTGGCTTTGGTCGGAAAAGCGTCGATAAATCTAGGAGAATTAGCTTCGAAAATGGAGTCCAGAGTTGAAAGGAAGCTTCCCATTGCTTTGAAGATTAATGGATTCGCCATTGATGCTGCTCTTTTGGTAATTAATTAATTAATTGACCTTATTATTTTTTTAAAATTCAGAAAATAATATTAGTTTTCGTTAATTACGTTTACGATTTTGGAATTGATCCAGTCTTGTAATTAGCTTCAAAAAAGAATTCAAAACTAAAAAATTTAAATAAGGTTTTATGTATTTTAATCCGTTGATAATTAGGATTTAGGAGTAACGAGAGCTTAATTAGTTGTTAAGTTAAACCAAATGACAGCTCTACTTGACCAAGTCATATTAATAGAGATGATACCGAGTGGCCAACCGTCTGATTAATATAATTTAACGGTTAGATTTAAATGGTATGATAGGGGACCCACGAAAGTTTGCTACTCGCTTTGACAGGTGGTTGTGACCTTCGCCGAGGTTAGAAACACCAATGACGCTTCTGGAATCGCACCAAACTCGGCCGAGTCAGATGGGTTCTTTAAAAGGGTGAAGAGCTTCGCCAGCCGGAAGAAGATAAACAACGAGAGAGAGGACAAACGGAGCTCAGGTGACTCGGACCAGTCATCCTTGTTTGACTCGTCTTCCACTCCGGCAGACGAGTCGAGCAGCTCCACCACTCCTGGTGACAACAGCAGTGAAGAACTGAGTTCAGGGACCGAGTGGGGTTCATCTTCAAGTCCGGGGCCTCTGTTGGACCCTGCCGACAAAGCCGGCTTCTTCTCGTGGAAGAGAAGACGGTTGAGTTTTAGACGGGGGAAGGTGAAAAGTGGAGAGCCGTTGATCAAGAATACTAATGGAAGCAACAATGGCCCAGAGATTGACGTTGACCGCCCGGTCCACGACGAGTTATCCATTGAGTCCGTACAGGTAAGCCTCCAATCAAATAATTCTGTCCCGTGAATATTTTGTTCTGCTGTAAGGGTAAAGGAGAAAAAGAGACAAACCGACCCTGTCACGTCATGCTTGAGTGAATTTTCTTTCAAAGCTTCACAGGTTTTGTAACTTTTCATTGATGGATTAAGTGACAAGTACGTATATGTTAATCATTATATAAGCATACATTGAACCAAAAAAAAAAAAAAAATACAGTAGGGTTCGAATTTGAGATAAATTTAGATTCTATAGAATTGATAGTCTTTTAATTTAATTAAAAGTAAAAATAATTAAATTTGTGTTTCTTCTTTATTTGTCAGAAAGCTGAAAGCAGTGATATTTCGATATATTATGAGTCAAATGAGTGGATGATGAAAGAATTGAGTAGCAGAGATGGAGATGCGAGGCTGAAAACCAGCGTGTTCTTCGCTTCATTTGATCAACGAAGCGAGAAAGCAGCAGGTGAAAGCGCCTGCACAGTTTTAGTTGCCGTTATAGCTGACTGGCTCCACTCGAACCAACACCTCATGCCAACGAGAGAACAACTTGATACTTTGATAACTGAAGGCTCATTCCAGTGGCGAAAGCTGTGTGATAACGAAGTACATACGAATTTCTTTCCTGACAAACACTTTGATCTCGAAACTGTTCTAGAAGCCGGCCTCAAACCGTTAGCAGTTTGTCGGGAAAAATCCTTTATCGGGTTCTTCAGTCCTGAAAAATTCGAGTGTTTGAAAGAAGCCATGTCTTTCGACGCAATATGGGATGAGATCATCAATGCCCGCAAAAATAACAATGCTGCTTATCATCCCGACAATGAATGTGAGTCAAGAGTTTATATAATGAGCTGGAATGATCATTTCTTCATACTGAAGGTTGAAGACGATGCTTGCTTTATCATTGATTCATTAGGGGAGAGATTATTTGAAGGCTGTAACCAAGCCTACATATTGAAGTTTGATGAATCCAGCTTTATGTACCGAAAGGTCGTTGAAGGGGAATCCAACTCCAAGGACTCTACAACTAAAGATGATAACCATGTACAAACTGAAGAGGTAATTTGCAAGGGGAAAGAATGTTGCAGAGAATACATCAAGAGATTTCTTGCTGCCATTCCAGTTGCTCAACTTGAAATGGAAGAGAAGAAGGGAACGCTTTCTAATTTCTCTCTTCACCATCGACTGCAAATCGATTTCCACTATACTTTCTCTCTCAACCCTGCTACTTGCACTTAGAACCATTCTACTAACGAATTTTTTCAAGTCTATTTTATTCATTATACTTCATATGTAAATTTAGTCGATACTTTTATTTATATAAACAGTCCAATTTTTTGGTCAAGATCAAATTGTTTCTTCAAAAACTTGGACTGGGTTACGGAAATTCAAACAGACCAAATGCTTTCTCTGCGTACTTGCTTATTAAATTTGTACAGAATACACCCATAGTTTGAAGATGCTTCCGGTTCCCTAATTGCAGACTCGTATAGAAGAAACAACAATGATTAGTTTATTTACTTGGAAAAGAAGAAACTTTGAGCCTCCTCCACCCATAATGTACTTTAAAAAATCTGTGTACATTCTTGACGACAATTCAACAAAACTCAAAAAGGTCCATATTCTCCACTAAAAACCTAATATGAAGAAAAGGAAGAAAGTAGAATCTGACCCCACAATTTGCTGTTTAAGTACACTGCCTCCACAAAAACAAAAGAATTTTTCTTTTTAATCCGAATTACCCCACAACTCAAACAAAAAGAACCTGTTTTCCAGTCTTCCTCTAATCATTTATAACCATACCTTATAAGAAAGGCATACCCCACGGTTGTTTAGGGTTATTGACTCAAGATAATTGTAAAGATTTGGCAAAGTCACCTTCTTGTCCCCCACCTAAAACCAACAAAATCCCTTATCCAGTTTTTTCAATTTCCCAATTCAATTCATTTTATCTCTTTTTATCTTTCAATTCTTAATCAAACCAATCAGTGGAGGGTCCACTCCCCCTCGAAGATTTAAACTTTAGAGGTCATTTCTTGTAATAGTTAGAGTTTAAGCTAAGGCAAAGAGATATAACTATAACCCATGACCCATTTGCTTCTTTTCATTTCCGTACAGTGTTTATATATATATATATATATCATACCTTACAAAACATGCTTTAAGAAGAAACACAGACAGTTAACGAAGACACTAAAAATCACTAGCAATAAGATAAGATAACAGCATTATTTTGTACATTGCAGATGACATGGTTTCTTCTGTTAGTCTATCCATGGGATGGTTCAGGACTCTCAACTTAGACATCTCTATATACAGTTCTTATTCTTGGGACATCGATGGGCTACCACTCGATGGTAACATAATTACCAACCAGCGCTTGGGTCACAAGAAAAAAGAGAAAAAAAAAAAATTGCTTCAGCAATGCAATCACAAGAAAAATGCCACAAAAGTCCCAAGTAAGAATCAGTCTACAAACCTGCACTTTTCATTCTTCCTGCAAATTGGTTATATGGAAGCTTCGGCTGCCAACAAAATTGCTGATCCTCCATCGATTGACTCAAAACTATCTTCCGCTTTCTCATTGTTGTGTCCAGATTCGTATGCCCGTGCTCATCCTTCACAATGCATTCAGTAGAAATCAAGTGTAATTTGTCACTCGTATTGCCTTTACCAAAGAAACAGAACTCCTGATCAATTAATGGTGTCAGACTTCTTCCTGTAATCCCCTCTTCGGAATTAGAATCAATGTCTCCAAGATCCTGGCGGTTTCCAACACTGGGGCAGGGAACTGAACAAGGGCCTAACCGGAGTGATAAATCACATTCATTGTCGAGTGGAATTTCCTGTATTTTCGCCTTGGTATTTGTTTGGATTATCTTTCCTGAACTACTGGCATCTGGGAAGCAGGAGGTTGGAAAACTTCCCACCTTAGCAAGATGCTCGGGACAATTGGAAAATGGCTTGGGAAGAACTCTGGATCCATGATGGGATTCTTCGACGTGGAAGCAATTTCCATAGTACAAAGGGTAGACGGTGTACAAGTTCGAGACAGAACCACTTTCCATAGACAAGCATTGGTTGGCCTTCGATGGGGAAACATTCTTGGTTGCTAAGGGGAAATTGTTAGTAAAGCAGTTATGGGTTTGCACAACTGGGTTTCGACACACAGAGCTTAAATTGGATGCTCCTAATGTTGAGGGTTTCATGAAATTTAGATAATAGGCAACAAAATGCGAATTAGATGTATGATTTCCTAGCCCGGAAATCTCTGTACCGGTGGGCTCCTGATTGTTCAGATTAAGATAACACCTTGGGTTGACATTCCTTTGGCTCCTCGAGGCTCTTCTCGGCGTGCAACCCAAATTGAGCGCGGCTAACCAATAATAAAACAAACAACAAAGAGAGAAAAGTTACACACATTGTTCCCACATCTCATAGGGCTACTCTTTGATATAACATCCCAAGAATCACAACTAAGAATCTAAATTAATTCAAGCTAATTGACCAAAGATAATTTGCATAGTGAAGAAAATCCGAATCACAGTCCTCTTTGTGGGATTTAAAAGGAGGGAAATTAGGAATGATAATGGCAGGAAAAAAAAAAGAATGAGCACCTTCAATACAAGGTTGAAGAAAATCTCCAGTTTCAGAACTCTCATCCCGTCGAATTATAGTATTAATGGCGTCATTTGTGCGGTCCCAAAGTGTTTTAAGGTCCATGTATTCAGCCTAAGGAGACATTAGAATGCAAGGGCATAAGCTTTTGAAAGATCAAGAGAACCAAATCCAGTAACAAACAGTAAAATTTCAACCTAAGGTTTGAAAGATCAAGAGAATCAAAACCAGCAAAAATAGAGTTTCAGTCTTCATTATACTGAAAAAGAATATCCATGTACATATGTCTATATATTCATCTATAACCTCCTCTCTTTTTTTTTTTTGCTTTTCAAACTGAGAAGCAAACCAAGAAAGAGAAAAAGAAAAACAAAAAAAGCAGAGAATTTTACCTCTGAATTGGCTTTGGAATACATAATTTCCTCAGCTCTCAAGACAACAACAGGGAGTTTCTCCTGCCATTCCTTGTTTTTCTTAGTTGCAGAGCTATGAACCTCATTGACAACTCTGAAACAATCAAAGGCAAAGCCAAAATTTTGATGACAAAAACACAATATATACATACAAACGCACACTCCCCAGAAAAAAAGAGAGAGAAGGAGAATGACCTGAAAATTTCTTGAATGAGAGAACCCCTCATGGGTTGGTGCCTATCACTGTGCCAAGCTCTTCTAACACACTCATAAGGTCTTGGCCCTGGCCTTGGCATCTTCCCCAATCCTCGAGACCCAGAAGCAGAGAGAGATCAGGTATGTTAGGTGAAAGAGAAAAAGAAAAGAAAACCCTCAAAGGTCTGAACTTTTCCCTCAGAAAATTTATGGGTTTTGAGGTCTCCTTCCCCTTCAACCCACCCAGTTACATTGAAGAAGAAATGCAGCAACTGTACACAAAAATTATAGACAGAGAGGGAAGGGGGAGAAGAGAGCTCTGGGGTTTCTTTTTCTCTTTTTTAATTTTTTCTGTCACAAAAGCTCAATTATTTCAAGAGGGTTTTAATTGTTTGGAGTTTGGTGTGTCCCCCACTCATCCACATGCCTGCTTCCCCTAGCCCCAAGAGTCTCTCTCCCCACTTTTTTCTTGTCTTTGCCTCCTTTCCTTTTTCATTTTTCCCAAACAAACAAAAATCTATATATATATATATATATTATGGTAATTTCCAATTCTTAACTATCATATTTTTAAGTAATTAAATACATATTTACAATTTATCACTTTACATAATAGTCCTTATTTTTAAAAAATATTTTGGGCTTATAATTTAAAGCAAAAACTTTAAGACTGAACAAATTAAAATATATGTAAAAAATAAGTTAAATTTATTAATAATTTTGTACAAAATAAAAGGTAAATATAAAAAATTTACAAAATTTTAGAAATAAAAACAATTACATCAGAAAATTATATATATTTTTTGTTTTTTTTTTTTTTT